CTCCCTCACTGGAAATGGAAACATTTGTTAGTGCAATGGGCCTGGGGCCCTGGAACTTCTTCAGCCAATTCACGTGTACGAGCATTACCTGGTTGCGCTTGTCAGAGTGCCTCACTTTGTACGTGAGGTCCCCAGTCTTTTCTGTCACAATGTAGGGGCCTTCGTTCTTGTGGGACATAGTGTTCCCTAGTCGAGGCTTTAATACCAGGACAGGGTCGCCAGGCTGAAATACCCGCCACTTAGCCTTAGCATCGTTTCGTTCTTTCATCTTTTCTTGGGCCTTCCCAAGATACTTTAGTGCAGCCGCCTTGCAGTCCTTGAGTCTCTGGTGGTGTTGCGCAAAGAAAGCCGAACCTTCGGTTAACGTTACGTTCCCTAACAGATTCTCCTGTAACATTTGCAAGGGTCCACGAACTTTATGGCCAAAGACTAACTCAAAAGGAGAACAACCCAGTGAACTTTGTATAACTCCTCTCTAGCCGCAAGCAAAACATACGGCAAATTCTCATCCCAGAAGGTGTGGGGAACTCTCGCACGATGTCTTCAACATCTGCTTCAGAGTTAGATGGAAATGTTCAATTACCCCCTGACTCTGTGGATGGTATGGGCTGGAAACCTTATGAGTTATTCCATGGTCCTTACAAAATGGTTAAAAAATATCAGACTATAAGTTAGTACCATTGTCAGTTTGCACGACCCGAGGCAGTCCAAAAGTGGAAAAAAATTGCAACATACGAGCAACAACAGTCTTTGCTCGGATGTTCCTTACAGCAAAAGCCTCTGGGTAACGAGTCATGATATACATCATCGTGATTAGGTAAATATTACCAGACTTAGTTCTAGGTAATGGACCAACAAAGTCCATTACCACATGAGAAAATGGTTCCTCTGGCACGACAATAGGTCTTAGAGGAGCTTTAGGTGGAGTCTGGTTTGGTTTCCCAACAAGTTGACAAACAATACATGCATTACAAAATTTTGCCACATCGCTTTTCAGCTTGGGTCAGAAAAAATACTTTAAGATTTTGTGATACGTAATATTAATACCTTGATGTCCCCCCATAGGATCATCATGAGCAGCTGCCAAAACTCTTTCTCTATAGCAGGTCGGCAACATAACCTGGTGGACTACCTCCCACTCATTTGACAAGGGAGCACTCTGTGGTCTCCATTTTCTCATCAAAATCCGATCATTGTAGTAGTACCCAGTTGCTGCGTCTACAATTTCCTCCTCAGAGGTGGCTAACTTATGGCATTCTGCAAGACTGGGGTCAGCTTTCTGTAACTCACTCAAGGAGGCATCCAGGCCTTGGTCAGATGCCATTGGCCGAGGCTCAACAGTGTTCTCCTAAACCTCCTCACTACTCTCAGTAGGCGGCGGTGGCAGGCTCTCCACAATGTCCTCGGCCACGTCATCGAGTTGGGCCATGAATGTGTCTGCAAGGTCCACTTGGCTTTCACCACTCGAAAAGTTCCTCGTGTCCTCGGGATTTACCACCTTGGCAAGCACAGGGCTGCCCTTACATTTAAGTCCCATAGACCTGGTCACTGCGCACGCAGGGTGCACAACATTATCCTCTGCAGCAGGTGGATCCAGGCCAACCTTAGGGGTAGGCAACATAATAGGCAGTCTGGAGTCCCCTACCTTATCCCCTGCTGAATCATTACCAACTATTACATCAACATTAGGGAAAGGTAGGTACGAAGTGACTCCGACTGTACAAACACCCTTGTGGAAATCAGATTCCAGGGTAACCTTATGGAGGGGTACTGCTCGAGTACCACTAGTGACACCCTCGACCAGTACCACCTCTCCAGTGTCGAGAGTGTTGGCACTTTGCAAAGCACTCTCTAAAATTAAAGTCTGGATGGCACCGGTGTCTAGGAAGATCACCACGTCCTTCCGTCCCTCAGACAAAAGTAGTCTCCCTTTCGATAAGAATGAGGTAAGCAAGCCAACCACTGCGGGTTGGAGGTCTTGCTCACTAACCCTTCCGAAGGCCTCAAGCCCTTGTCACAACTAGAGCATTGGGTCTTTTTTCTGGGTACAGTTGCCAACAACGGCTAGTAATTTGGTTTGGACGTTTACAGTGACCACAGATATGTCGGGGAGGAGAGACATTACTAACAGAATTACCCTTCGGTTCACTCTTAGGTATCGGTGGGCTAGACAATTTAACAGGGTTAGTTATGTCTGAAACAGAAGGTGCAGTAGTTAAAGGGTTAGAATGTGCTGGTCTGGACTGGCTGTGGGTATAAGTTTTGCTATTCTGTGAGGTATAATTATTTTTATTGGGCGTTTTGCCCGCCAACTGGTAGTTTTCTGCCATCTTGGCCAAATCCCCTATTTTAGAATCTACCTCTATCCTACCTCTAATAAATTGTGCAACATTCTCTGGCATATTATCTATAAAGTGCTCCATTAAAACTACATTCCTTAGTGCCTCGTATGTTTCGGCTTTCGCCGAGCGAATCCATTTATCAAACAATCTAAATTGATCATTAGCAATTTCAGTGAGTGGTTGTTTGTGAGTAGGCCTAAGGTTGCGATAAGCTTGACGGTGAGCTTCAGGAGTAATTTCATATGCCCTTAAAATTCGCTCCCTGACTTTATCATATTCAAAACACTCGTCGTCAGGCATGGTTATAAAAATATCTTGTGCTTTACCCCTAAGCCGACCCTGCAAGATTTTCACCCACTCTTCCCTTGGCCAGTTCATAGACATGGCTAGTCTTTGAAAATGGTTGAAAAATCTTTCAGGGTCTGACTCTGAAAATTCAGGTAAGTTATGTTTTTTATCAGACAGCCTGAGGTTTGAGTCCCCAGTAGGTGGTACTATTCTTGCACCCTCATTTTTGAGCCTTTGCTCTTCCACTTAAGCATTTTGTTCTGCTACTCTGGCCTCTTGCTCTGCCAATCTTAACTTGGCTAGTGTTAATTCTAACTCTATATTTCTACTAGCTACACTTTCACCTGAACTGGGTTCGCATAAAATTGTATTACTTGGCACTAGTTCTTGGTCTATACAATGCCGTAAAATTTCATTCACCAAGGTCCACTTTTTATCAGTGTCGTTTAACTCGAGACCAAATTCCAAGGCCTAACAATACTAAATTTGCTTTGGTGAGCTTCTTAATCTCTACCACTGAAGGATCCTTTGCCAGTTCCTGCATTTTAGCCTCCATCACTAATTAATTTAGCTCCTAGCCAAAGAAAAAAAAAATAAAGATTGGAAAAAACAAAAATTTGCACGGCCCCTAACACAAGGCCAGACTTACCTCAATCATGAAGAGATCCAGCTAGGTGTCCAGTCAGTAAAAGTAAATCCTTTGCTATATGAGCTGGACCCTAGGCTAACACACAACCGTTCTGTGGAAAACAAGAATTTTTTGTTTTGGCACTCAAGAATCTAATTTTTTACAATTATAATGTTCCTCCCGGACAGGCCCCCACTTGTTATAAATGGGAGTCTGTACTATGGGGGATCCAGTATAAATGGATGTAGGGGCAGTAGTTAGCATTAAGAGTTATCAAATATGGGAGATCTAAAAGGCCCGGCCCCCAAAATAAAATATCCACAGTGAATATTAATTGGCTACACGACAATGTCAGTCTAGAGGTTGATCATAGATCTCCTACACAGGAAGAATGGATACTCCTTTAACTAACTTACTTATTTATTAACCCCTTAACAACCCCCCATATACATTCACACCAATAACAATAATAATTACTTTACCACACTATCTTACGTTAAAAGCCTTGGTCCACATAGGCAGGATACAAGGTTTACACTGAGAACAAGCTAGGGTAAAGTACTACTAGTGAAGAACTTGAAGCTTGAGTCAGCTTAGGGTAGGGAGGCCACGTGGATCCACTGGGACTCCCTTAGAATAACTAGGACTATAAACACTAGGAACACCTAATTCATACAAAGTATAATATTCTACACATTAGAATGTCTGCCTATGCCAGACAATGAGGACACAATACAGTATACTTAACTCGGTAATTAACACAGAAATAAAGATACAAGAGGTAGAGGAGGAAGTTCTTTTCACCACAACGCCAGCTCAAAGAAGCAGAGCGTTTCCACTCTCCTCCCTCAGTTCACTCGCTGCCAGCAGACTACTCAACTAATCGTACAGCATTCCTATCCCAAGTTTACTCAGGTTTACTTTACAAATGATTAGAAAGTATTAGTAAACATAGTTGGTGCCTATTTTATTATTTAATAATCAACCCCAAGCTCAGTCTTTAAATGCTCTTTGAGAAACAAGAATAGTCTTACGTCTGGCAGGGAAGATACAAACAAATGCACCTTGCCATGCATCCCTCTACTAAAAGGTAGTTTATTTAGCTCAATTTTGACCTCTGGTTTCCACTGAGGAACCCAGGGTCATAACACACTATACTTAGGCTTATCAAGGTACCCCCCCTCCCTGTGGCCAAATGCTAACCTTCCACAGGTGGCAACCCATATGTTTATTATTATTATTATTATTATTATTATTATTATTATTATTGTCGATGGAGGCGGCCAGTTTATTGTGCACCCAATACTCTTCCTGTGAATCTTAGTTTATTTAACATCTCATACTCATCTTTGGAGCGGTAATGCAAAAAACTATTATAGAGGGACAAAATGATCTAATGGGATCACAGTGGGTGATCCCATTAGATCACAGATCATTATCATCTGAAACTAATTCGAAATCCTTCTAATAAACAACAGTTTTTTGCTGGGTAAGTAGGGGCATCAGGTGACAGGATATGCCGAACCATTTCATGTCCTGGCAGGGGATCGACCACCAGAGTCTCACTTGTGAGTGGAAGACGTAGACCACTGTGCTATAATTACGATCATATTGCCCTTCAGAGTGTGTGGTGTACATGGTATACCTCACAACAGGGAGTGTGTGAGGTGTGTGCATACACATACATATGTATATATACAAGTATTCATGATGTGAGTGTGGTGATGACTACTGCCCAACAGGTTCGTCAACCCATCGACAGCACAGAGGACCTGGTCAGGCAGGATAAGGTTCCCTGGGCAATCGAGTCTGGTTCATTCCTCTATCAGATCCTATATGTGAGTATTGCCACACCTTTGTCACACCATGGTGTGGCCCGTGCTGTGCGCCACACCAAATTATAATCTCATTTAACTACCAATGTGTACTATAGCTCTGCCTTTCCTTTCAAAATATTTTAACTTTATTTAAAAAAAAAATTCATCTATATTATTGTCTTTTTTTTCTTTTTTACTCCCTTGTTCCATTGTACACTGGATTTGCATGTGTCTTCTAGTATAAACTTTATCATCCAGTGTACCTGAGTGTATCTCCATTTAATCTACCTCATTTTGTTTTAGTGTAACTTTAGTATTCAGCTATAGTGTACTTATAATATTATAGTAAGTAAGCTATTTGTTTTATAGATATCTTAATTACTTTTTGACCTTTTATTGGTCTTCTATTGTTATTAATTATTCAAGTTCATTTTTACTTTTCTTAAGTTCCCATTTAAGGTTTTATTACTTAAATTACCATTAAGTTTATATTACTTTAGAATTTTTATTCTACTTTTTCTTTGTAACCCAGGTTGCCTAGCCTCACCACCCTTGTAACCCAGATTGCCTAGCCTCACCAACCTTGTAACCCGGGTTGCCTAGCCTCACCAACCTTGTAACCCAGGTTGCCTAGCCTCACCACCCTTGTAACCCAGATTGCCTAGCCTCACCAACCTTGTAACCCAGGTTGCCTAGCCTCACCAACCCTTGTAACCCAGGTTGCCTAGCCTCACCAACCCTTGTAACCCAGGTTGCTTAGCCTCACCAACCTTGTAACCCAGGTGGCCTAGCCTCACCAACCTTGTAACCCAGGTTGCCTAGCCTCACCACCCTTGTAACCCAGATTGCCTAGCCTCACCAACCTCGTAACCCAGGTTGCTTAGCCTCACCAACCCTTGTAACCCAGGTTGCCTAGCCTCACCAACCCTTGTAACCCAGGTTGCCTAGCCTCACCAACCTTGTAACCCAGGTGGCCTAGCCTCACCAACCTTGTAACCCAGGTTGCCTAGCCTCACCAACCCTTGTAACCCAGGTTGCCTAGCCTCACCAACCTTGTAACCCAGGTGGCCTAGCCTCACCAACCTTGTAACCCAGGTTGCCTAGCTTCACCAACCTTGTAACCCAGGTTGCCTAGCCTCACCAACCCTTGTAACCCAGGTTACCTAGCCTCACCAACCTTGTAACCCAGGTGGCCTAGCCTCACCAACCTTGTAACCCAGGTTGCCTAGCCTCACCAACCTTGTAACCCAGGTGGCCTAGCCTCACCAACCTTGTAACCCAGGTTGCCTAGCCTCACCAACCCTTGTAACCCAGGTTGCCTAGCCTCACCAACCTTGTAACCCAGGTGGCCTAGCCTCACCAACCTTGTAACCCAGGTGGCCTAGCCTCACCAACCTTGTAACCCAGGTTGCCTAGCATCACCAACCTTGTAACCCAGGTGGCCTAGCCTCACCAACCTTGTAACCCAGGTGGCCTAGCCTCACCAACCTTGTAACCCCGGTTGCCTAGCCTCACCAACCTTGTAACCCAGGTGGCCTAGCCTCACCACCCTTGTAACCCAGGTGGCCTAGCCTCACCACCCTTGTAACCCAGGTTGCCTAGCCTCACCAACCCTTGTAACCCAGGTTGCCTAGCCTCACCAACCTTGTAACCCAGGTGGCCTAGCCTCACCAACCTTGTAACCCAGGTGGCCTAGCCTCACCAACCTTGTAACCCAGGTTGCCTAGCCTCACCAACCTTGTAACCCAGGTGGCCTAGCCTCACCACCCTTGTAACCCAGGTGGCCTAGCCTCACCAACCTTGTAACCCAGGTTGCCTAGCCTCACCAACCTTGTAACCCAGGTGGCCTAGCCTCACCAACCTTGTAACCCAGGTGGCCTAGCCTCACCAACCTTGTAACCCAGGTTGCCTAGCCTCACCAACCTTGTAACCCAGGTGGCCTAGCCTCACCACCCTTGTAACCCAGGTTGCCTAGCCTCACCACCCTCGCTCCATTGTGCTCTTGGCTTTGCCTGTGCAATTTTGATCATTAGTGCAAATTACTACCTTCAGTGTACCTGAAAGTAGCTTTAAGCAACCTACCTCATTTTTGTGTATAGTTTTATATACTCTTTTTCTTCCATAGATAGTTCTTTTATAATTGTCTTTTTTGTTTTTCTGTAAAACTGCCCTCTTGTGCAAACTATTATAGACCCAGACCTTAACCTCTTATTAGTATCTATGACAATCATCACTTTAATGATCAAAATTGCAGGTATTATACAGCACATGATGTAAAGAATGTTTTAGCGTGTAATCACAATGTTTCTGTAATTAACTTGAATGTAAGATCTCTAAGCAAACACTTTGATGATGTTAATGCCCTGATTCAAACAGTTGACAACAAATTCTCTTTTGTTGTGCTTACTGAAACGTGGTTAAATGAGGACACTACTCAACTCTACAACATACCTAACTACTCAGCTATTCACAACTGTCGTCCTATACAAAGAGGTGGTGATATTTTTTTTACTACTACCATGAACTGACTTGCTTAAAAGTAATTAAATCTAGAGACCCTTATGGAGAGTATATATTTGCCTGTTTCAGAGTCAAGGGTAACGATGCTGTCCTAACTGTGGGAGCAGTCTACAGGATTCCTAACACTGATGTGACTGAATTTAACTCTAACCTTAGAAATCTAATACTAGAAAACAGACTGAACAAAAGCCACTTAATTATTTCTGGGGACTTTAACGTTGACCTCTGCGAGCCTGATAACTCTCCTGCTGCTAGTTTCCTCAACTGTATGAATTCCTGCTTCCTCATACCCGTAATCAGTAGACCTACTAGAATCACTGACAGTACTGCCACGGCTCTTGAACACATCTGGACCAACATAACCTTTCCACTTACATCAGGGATAATCATCGATAGCACTACAAACCATTACCCCACATTTCTCCTAACCAACATTAACAAACCACCTCTAGAGGCAAGGGAGATAAGCTTTAGGCTGCACAATGAAACTGCTATAGACAATTTTATAGCTGCTGCTGCTAATATCAACTGAGAATCCGAATTAGGTAACATAGAGGACATCAACCTAGCAGTGCAATCTTTTCTTCAAAAAACTCTCAGCCTTTATAACACCCACTGTCCAATGCTAACGAAACAAGTCACAACTAAAAGGCTAAACAATCCTTTGCTTTCAAAGAGAATACTTAAATCCATTAATAAAAAAACATGACCTTGAGAAGAAGTATAGGTTAGGATTCGTCTCCAAAGAATTTTCAAAGAATTACTCATCATTGCTATCTAAAATAATTAGAAGAGCCAAAATTAGATACTACGAAGATAAATTTACCCTCACAAAGGGCAACATTAAGAAAACATGCAGCACAATTTCACAAATATTGGGATCAAAGAAGATTTTAAATAACAAACCAATACTCCTGTCCATTAACGATGGTCTGCTTTCAGCCTCTGATACTGCTATTGAGTTCAATAGTTTCTTCTCTTCCATTGGGTCCTCCCTTGTAAATGATATTCCATCTTCCAGTACTAATATTCAGGACTATCTTACAGGTAACTATCCACAGTCTCTGTACCTAATGCCTACTAATTCCACTGATGTTACTGAGGTAATTTTTCCCTCAAAACCAATTCTAGTGCCCTTGAGGAGATACCAACTGTAATTTACACAAAAGCCTCCAGATCTTTAGCTCCTGACATTGCATTGCTCTTCGACAAGTCACTTGAACTCCAAACCTTTCCATATATTCTAAAAAACAACAACAAAGTAACCCCTGTCCACAAATGTGGTGATCTCACTGATGTCAGCAACTTTAGACCTATATCAATTCTGCCAAACTTGTCAAAAATATTTGAAAAATTAATCTACAAGCAGCTTTACTCTTATCTAGCCAAACTGAATATACTTAGCTCTTGTCAATATTGCTTCAGACCCCGAAAAAACACTAACGACGCACTTATTAGTATGATTAACTTGATACATGCAGCTCTTGATAAAAATGAGTTCCCTGTTGGGTTATTTGTGGACCTGCATAAGGCTTTTGACACTGTCAACCACCAAAACCTTCTTCTTAAATTACATCATTATGGAGTCAGGGGTCACTCCTTGCAATACCTTAAGTCTTACCTTACTGACAGGCTCCAGTATGTTTCTGTGAATAATTAAATTTCAATCACCCTACCCATCAACATTGGTGTTCCTCAGGGCAGCATACTTGGCCCTCTCCTCTTTCTCATCCACATTAATGACCTTCCAAATGCCTCCCAACACCTCAAACCAATTCTATTTGCTGACGACACAACTTTCATTTACTCCAGTCCTGACCCCCTTGCTCTAAATGCCACAGTAAATACTGCGCTAAATAAAGTCCATCTTTGGCTAACTGGCAACAAACTCACCCTCAACATTGACAAAACTTTCTATATTCTGTTTGGCAATAAATCCTCTAATCAAATAAATCTCAGGATAAACAATACCAAAATTTGTAACAAAGTAGATGGCAAATTCCTTGGCGTTCTCATTTACCACAAGCTGAATTTCCAGGGATACATTCTAAATATATGAAAAAGTTTCAAAAACTGTTGGCATTCTTCCTAAGATCAGATATTATGTACCTCGCCCTGGTGACACTCTATTACTCTCTCATCTATCCTTATCTCATCTATGGTATTTGTGCTTGGGTTTCTACTACTCAAAATCATTTATGTCCTCTAATTACTCAACACAAAGCTGCTATTAGGACAATATCTAACTCTGGCCCCAGACATCACTCGGTACCCTTACTCAAATCTCTGAATATGTTAGATATTAAATCACTGCACATCCTCTCATGTGTATTTTATATATATAAAACGCTGAACTGTAATGTCAATCTGGACCTTAAAAGCTTCCTAGAAGGTTGTAACAGAACCCATGAGCACCACACCAGAAACAAATACCTATTTGATATTCCAAGAGTACGACTTAATCAAACTAGAAATGCTCTACAAATCAAGGGAGCCACAAT